TCTGTCATTCCACCAAAGCTGCAAGATGTTAGTTTCTGCTTCAGTTCTTAATTTAACATTGTACAGTGTTATTTTTTAAAATTAAAAATAATGGGGACTTATAAATAAGAGATTAGATTCCAGGGATACCTGGTTTCATCAACAGAGCTGAGTGGAGAAAGCAGTAAAGGTACCTCCTCTAGAGTGGAGCAGCCAGGGCTAATGAGTATGTAGTTTTCTTATCATAATGCTGTGATTGAAGTGTAGTATTTAATGGTGAAGCCCCCTTACAGATGATGAAAATACTATAGTTAGAGTGACAAATCCTTGGAATTATGTTGAAATAGTTTGTCTGTTATTCCAGTAACCAAAATTGTAAAATAAGTGCTTTGAAGCCAGACTTATTGACTGAATCATAGTAATTTCTAATTGAAGATATATGTCTCGGTTGTTGAAATAAATGAAGACTGTGAACAAATTTTAAGTACTTAGCTACTTTTACTCTTAAGTATTTAGTTTTAGATGCTAGACATTTTTAGTAGTCATTAGAATACCTTTATCACTATAAATTTTACAAAGCATGTTTCTTTTAAAAGTAAAGCCATTGGTTTATTATTATGACAATTGTTAATAATTCTGTGTAACATATTAATAATTTTTGTCTTCTGAATCTATTGGGATATCTGAAGTAATTTGTGTGCGTATGTACGAGAGATTGAGAAAAAGTGCACATGTGAGCGTTCATGCCTACATATGTGTTTTATTTGACATATTTTGAAGTTTAGTTTATTACTTTTCTTAGACTAAAGAAAGCATAACCATTTTATTAATTAAAGGTTTATGGAATGAACACCGACCTACAAAGGAGCATTTTGAAATAACTTGCATCTTCTAGATATAGGTTAAACAAAGGTTATGTTTTATGCTTGGTTCTAATCTTACTTGAAGGTGTTTGATAACTGTGGGATTAAGTTATAGTTTATTAGCAGTTATAGTATAAATTTAGTATACATGAATATGTTATATATCATATATAGTTTA